TGTCTTCTGTTTGGGAATCTGGAAACTCGAACTATTGGATTGACCGACCACATTACTTGAATGTTTAAAGACCTCGGACTGTATTTCGGATTTTTCTCTTTTGAAAACTGCTCAGGCAAACTAGGATTCAAACAGACTCCTTAAGTTTATGTTTTCTTTCTTGTTATCTGTATGGCCTCGAGTACTTTCTTATGCTACCCAGACTGTATTTGAACCTACTTTCATCCAGAGTCAGGAGTGTGTGTGTTCTTTTGTTAGAGGCTTGCCAGCAAAAGTGGGAGCATTTGGGGAGAAGTTGGAGCAATAAAAGAACTGTTTGAATTGCCAGCTGACTGCATTGCCTCTGTGCTGTGCCCTGGGTCATCACAGGTTGCGTGAAAAACAGTCATAAGTCACTTTTTTCAACGCTGTCGTAATTTCAAACAGTCACTAAATGAACTGATGTAAGTCAAGGATGACCTGAATAGTAGGATAATTTGAGCCTGGATGTTTGTGCCTCAAGTGAGAACTCTGGTTTCCTTTGTTCAGCAATCTGTTTTTTATTCTCTTGTCCGTCAATATATACATATGAGAATTTAATTGAATTATACCGATTTTGGATTTACACCCTATTTTATGACCTGTGCAAAAGATAGCATGGATTTGTGTCTTACAAGGTTTCGTGCTATGGGGCAACATAATTCTCTTTACTAAGAAGAAGATTAAGTGATTCTCCTTGGAGATTTATGTAGCTCTGGCGTTTACGTCTTTCTTGCTTTAGAACAGCAGAAATTTTTCTTTCGGATTTTAGGAGAGTTACCAGATATGGGAATTTTCGCACTCAGGATCCCTGAGCCATCAATTTCAGCACTGGCAGAGAATTCTGGAAATCACAGAAAAGAATTTACAGGTAGTCTTTGACTTACGGCCACAACTGAGTCCAACATTTATGTTAAGTGAGACATTTGTTAAGTGAATTTCACCCCACTTTGCAACTCTGTCTTGGCAGAGTTTAACAACTGCAGGAATCACTGCAGGAATCATTGTCCTGCAGTTTAACAACTGCAGGAATCACTGCAGTTGTTAAGTCTGCAACATACCATATATGCCAGCGTACAAGGCGACCCGGCGTATAAGACGACCCCCGTCTTTATCACCGAGCCGCATTCCTAGAACGTCGTCTTATACGCCGGAAACTACCAGTATTTCTGGCGTATAAGACGACTCGGCGTATAAGACGACCGTCTTTGGCGCCGATTTTAACGCTTGAAGAAGTCGCCTTATACACCGGCATATACGGTAGCTGTTAAGTGAATCTGTCTTCCCTCACTGACTTTGCTTGTCAGAAGGTCACAAATGTTGATCACATGATCCTGGGACATTGCAACTGTCGTAAGTACGAGTCAGTTGCCAAGCGTCTGAATTTTGATCATGTGACCATGGAGATGCCACAAGGGTCATAAATGTGAAAAACAATCATACCGTATATGCCGGTGTATAAGGCGACCCAGCATATAAGACGACCCCCGTCTTTGTCGCCAATTTTAGCACTTGCGGAAGTTGCCTTATACGCCGGCATATACAGTAAGTCCTTTTTTTCAATGCTGTTGTAACTTCAAAAGGTCACTAAACAAACTGTTGTAAGTTGAGGACTACATGTATATGGAACTTGTCCTTCTGCTTCAACTGGATTTGGTCTGATTGTTATATATGAAAAGATTTGTAAACAGGTGGACAGTGATTTTTTTCCCCCTCCTTTGGCAATTAAACATACAAATTTACAGAAAACATGTTGAAGTGGTCTAATACTTAGAAATATGTATTTTCCCAGCCTTATAGCCTTCTCAAGATAGCTTGGTCTTTCCATTGATTGAGTGATTTTTTTAAAAAATTCCCATCTTTATTATTTTTATAAATAACTCAAGGTAACAAATATTTCTAATATTCCTTCCTCCTATTTTTCCCCAAAACAACCCGATGTGAAGTGAGTTGCACTGAGAGAGAGAGAGAGGGACAGGCCCCAAAGTCACCCAGTCAGTTTTTCATGGCTAAGGTGGGACTAGAACTCACAGTCTCCTAATGATTGTCTCAAAGTTACCCAGCCAACTTTCATAACTAAGATGGAACTAGAACTCACAATCCCTTAGCTTCTAGCTTGGACCTTAACTGTTAAATCAGACTGGCCCTTTTTAAAAAAATGATTGATTCATAATACACCATCAAGTCAGTGACCAATTTTATCAACAACATATAGACTTTTCCAGGATGATCTGTTTCTTGCTGATCCTTCAGGTCTTCCACAATGCACCCATTGCCACTGAGTCCATCCACCTGACTTTTGATCCTCTAATTCTCTTTCCTTCCATCTTTCCCAGCCTTCTCCAGATCTCTGTCTCCACCCCTTTGTCCCTATCTCTGTCTCTGTCTCTGTCTGTCTCTCTCTGTCTTTCTTGGGCACCTGGAGGAAACATAGGACCTCAATTTGAATCTTAATAACCACAGTAATAGGGTGGGAGGGGCACATGGTAAACCCTACACCGAAGTAACAGAATGATTTATCTGACAAAAAGCATAGCATTTTCTTCCTTACTTCCCACCTAACCAGCTCCAAAATGGCACAGTGACACCTCCATTAATGGAAGCAGGGCTCAGTAAGTAAATAAGCCACAAGGATTGGATCCATCATACTGTGGGAAGAATCCAGAGAAAGAAATATTTTGGGAAATATTAAAAAGGCAGAATATATTTCCCCAAAGGAATAATGGAGAAGATCTTTAAAAAGGCAGAAAAGCATGCCCAGTTTTTCTTTTTTTTTTTTTTATTGAAAATTTTTTAAAAACTTTTACAAAGACAGAAAAAAAACAATAACAACAACAACAACAAAAAAAGCAAAACAATACAACCCTCCCCCAGCCCCTCCCAAACCACCCCCTCCCTCCCCCCCGGAGCTTCCCAGAGCAGAATATAGGCTTAATTAAAAAAAATTAACAAAATTATAAGATAATTAAGAATAAAATATATATGAAAAAAGAATTATAAACCTTAAAAAGAGAAAGTATTTAAAAAAGAAAAACAAAGAAAAGAAAAAGAAAAAGTAGAGTTTTTATACAAATTATAAAAAAGCTAAATGATATTTTTTCATATCCAATTTAAATTGTATGAAATTTATCCATTTTTCCCATACAGCAAAAAATTTCTCTTGCGTTTGCTCTTTTCAGTTTTTCTTAATAGCCCCAAGCAGAAGCCACCTTTTAGAAATGCAGATGTAATAATCCATTCAGAAAGGTTGGAGCCAGGAAGCTAGAAGAAGATAAGATTAGGAAGACAAATACCCCTAAATCTACATACCCCATCCAAACTCTAAAAGACATGACCTTTGGGGACATAATAGGATTAATCCACCAATACCAAAAGGGCACACTCAGACTCAGGTCAAAGTACATGACACAGGAAATACAAAGTCTCAAACAGGAACAGGAAACAATCTCCAGAGCCCCAGAAGGTATAAAAGCCCATCACTCTGCTCCATGTGGTCGCTTTTTTCCAGAGCCATCTTTCTGTCTGGCTCTGCTCTTCAATAAATTACAACCTTCTTTCTAAAGCAGTCTCCATGTTGTTTATTCCCAGCTTGGACTGGACCCTGATGAAGATTTTTCTTTCTACAATACACTGTCCTTTTATCTCCACATCTTCCATTCTCTAATAGTGGAGGAAGAGGAAAGAATATTTGGAACTGAGAACTTGAAAAACCCAAGCAATTTGGAGCCCTCAAAGTAGCGATTCTTCCTATTCTTCCAGCTTCTAAAGCAGCTTTATCAAGACATCGTAGGAGGAGGATTCACGCCTTGGAGTTTGATCATCTCGTGTTCCTTTAATTAACCTAAAGTGAAATCCTTTCAAGCTGAGAGCAGATGTTTATTCTGCACGAATGCAAAAGATAAAAGGCTGCATGCACAAACAGTAGTTAAAACTACAGACAGCTGGGGCCACATTCAAAGGTGACAAGACAAACGCCAGTGAACCAAGGTAAAGTTACAGTCAACAAAAACCGATAGGGCTGAACCAGATTTGTGCAGTCTATTTTTTTTAATTAAAGAAAGAGAAGAGTTTATCTTATCCCTGGAATATTTTTTTTTTTTTTTTTTGCTGAAATGACATTTTGGGGCTACTTTTTAAGTCTAGGTAGCGTTCATGGTTCTTTTTTTTTTTGACATTTGGCCATTTTTTTAAAGTCAACTCCATTAATAAAGCCGTCAAGGACTATGTAGCCAAAATGAATACTTCATGTGGGGTCCTTGGTGCTCTCCAAGCTTGGTTGTTTTCTTGCAGATGTTTTATTACCCAACTAGGTAACGTCATCAGTGCTAGAAGAGAGTGGGGTTTGTTCTCTATTTATATACTGGTGGGTTGCCCTGTCAGGGATGGTGGGGACATTCTTGATGGTTCCTTGATTAGGCTGTGACTTATTGGCAGCTTGTTTGTGTGCACTGGTGGCTTGTTATTTATTTATTTATTTATTTATTAAATGTGTAGTCCACTCATCTTACCTCAAGGTGACCCTAGTTCTGTGGTGGTGAACCTATGGAATGCATGCCACAGGTGGCACGCAGAACCCTCTCTGTGGGCACGTGCGCCATCGCCCCAGTCCTAGGCCTTCAGCTGGGTTTTATAAAACCTTTTCGCTTTAGGCCTCCACCGCCATGTGCAAAAAAAACAAAGGTTCAATCAATCAATTTCAACTTCTCACGGGAAAAAAAAAGATCTCGCAACGTTGGAATTGATTGATTGAACTTTTTAGTCCCACCCAGTCTGCCGTTACCACCGCAGCCACCCCCACCCAACGGGCCACCCCCACCCAACGGGCCACCCCCACCCAACGGGCCACCCCCACCCAAGGGCGAAACCCACCCGGCACCCGACAATACATAAGTGGGTTTTGGGTTGCAGTTTGGGCACTCGGGTCTCTAAAAGGTTTGCCATTGCTGCCCGAGTTCCTTGATTGGGATATTGTTTACTTCTTAATTGTTGGCCTAGTGTTAGTCTTGATGTTAATCTTCTGCTCATATGGGTGTTGATTGCTGGTGAGAAGGTCTTGTGGCCTTTTTGATTGTCTCTTCTGAACAGTATGTAGATGTTGTTTATCTCTGTGTGCCGGTTGATGGCTGATTTGTGTGAGTGCTAAGTTCAATCAATCAATCAATCAATCAATCAATCAATCAGAATAGATCTGGAAGGGAGCTTGAAGAGCTTCTAGTCCAGCCCCCTGCTCAAGCAGGAGACCCTATACCATTTCAGACAAATGGCCCTCCAGACTCTTAAAAATCTCCAGTGATGGAGCACCCACGACTTCTGGTGGCAAGCTGTTCCACTGGTTAACTGTTCTCAGTGTTAGGAAGTTTCTCCTTAATTCCAGGTTGCTTCTCTCCTTAATTAGTTTCCCAAGAATTATCTAGCGTTTTTGGACCTGACTTGGTCCAGGATGCTCACAGTTTCCCAGGTGAAACTATAGTTGCATGTATTTCACATGGTCTATGATTTTTTTTTCCTGTGTGCCCCCTCTTGGGTGTGCTTTCAATTTCCTAGCCTAGCCTATTGCTTGGCTCTCCTTGATGGTAAAATACCATGTCAGTTTTCAGCTGCTGAGCTGCAATGTCCAAAATCAGCCAAGGACACTCCCAGGCTGAGCCAAGCACCATGGTATGACACGGTGTTGAAAAATAGATTGAACTATCTTTGTATTTCTAAAAGATGACCAATTTTTTTCTGGGCTAGAAAGATAAAAGCCCAGGGAAAAGTCATATGTTCAGAAGTGGAATTCAATTGCTGTAGTTAACTTTTGGAAAACCAACTTAAGGGGGCCTAATTGTGAGCAACACAACAGCTAGGAAAAAAATTCCTTTTAGTGTTTCCTTTATTCATTGTCTCAGTTGGATAAGCAGAAGTGGGCCAGGGCACTCAAGAAAACTCCTTAATCAATGAATTGTGAAGTGGAATTGGATTTTTTTGAAAGATGGTAAGCTTCCCTGTTCTTGTTTTTGTTTTTTTAAAAAAATGGTTCCTTCTTTTTCTATTCCTATGTCACTCTGCAGGACTCTGAATTCTAAAATAACCCCTCCTTCCTTGTATAGTGTCTTAGTGAGGTATCGATAACTTCCCTGCTTTTGCAAAATCGTGGTTCCCAATCTGAAGCACTTTACTTAATCCTCAGGGGACCATTACATGTAAACCAAAGAGACACATTTCCAGAACAGGTGTGCAAATGATGGTACGCTTTTAAAGATTGGTCTTCATTGGCAAAATTGTAATTGTGTGACTTTCTCTCAGCCTGCCCTTTCAGGGCCAATCACAGGGAGACTGTGAGTTCTAGTCCCGCCTTAGACATGAAAGCCAGTTGGTTGACTTTGGGTCAATCATGAGGAGATGGTGAGTTCTAATCCCGCCTTAGGCATGAAAGCCAGCTGGGTGACTTTGGGCCAATCACCAGGAGATGGTGAGTTCTAGTCCCTCCTTAGGCATTAAAGCCAGTTGGTTGAATCTTGGCCAATCACCAGGAGAAGGTGAGTTCTAATCCTGCCTTAGGCATGAAAGCCAGCTGGGTGACTCTGGACCAATCACCAGGAGATGGTGAGTTCTAATCCCGCTTTAGGCATGAAAGCCAGCTGGGTGACTCTGGGCCAATCACCAGGAGAAGGTGAGTTCTAATCCCGCTTTAGGCATGAAAGCCAGCTGGTTGACTCTGGGCCAATCACCAGGAGATGGTGAGTTCTAATCCCACCTTAGGCATGAAAGCCAGCTGGTTGACTTTGGGCCAATCGCCAGGAGATGGTGAGTTCTAGTCCCGCTTTAGGCATGAAAGCCAGCTGGGTGACTTTGGACCAATCACCAGGAGAGGTGAGTTTTAATCCTGCCTTAGGCATGAAAGCCATCTGGGTGACTCTGGACCACTCCTCCTTTCTCAGCCCAACTCATCTCACTGGATTGTTGTTAGGAAAATAGGCGAAGGAAGGTGTGCTGATGTGTTCGCAGCCGAGTTATTTGTAAAAATATTAAACGGGGGATATAAATAAATAAATGAAAATATGAAATGGGTTCTTGGGAAAAGAGAAAAATAAAATACCTGCATTGATGGAGCAAAGAAACAGACACAACAAAAACATAATAGATTCGGCCTCGTCACATTCATTAAAGCTTGGCCACCTAAAATAATATGGACCAGTCTTTCCATTACATCAATAGAGGGACAGTTCATAATTCTTTGCGGTTTTCCTTTTTCCTTCCAACATTCTCTTCCTCTTTAAGGAAAAAATATTGGAAAACAATTTCCTTCCCAACTGAGTGCAAATGATCAGAAAGAAACACAAGGATTTGGGGGCACAATAAGGGCTAGATTTTGCACAGAGAAACTAGGACTAAATCTCATTGAAAGGATATTTTGGGGGAGGGAAAATGGGGGGGGGGAATGACTCATTAGTACAGTTGTATTATAACTAATCCATTGAAAAGTAGCCAAGAGTCTACAAATGTAGATCAGTTTATTTCGAAACCTGGGATAAATTTTACTGCTGGAGGGATTCAAGGACAGTTGGGATTATAGGCTAGCATTAAGATAGAAATATATGTAATTTTAGGTTAGCAAATAGAGAAACAGATTAAGTATTGTATATAAAATTTAGATGCATATTCAGAGATGAAGAATCGATTGTAAAATGTGGAATAATTTGATAAGAATGTATATACTGGAATGTCACATTATATCCAGTATTCTTTTAACTGTATGATAAATAAAATTTTGAAAAAAAAAAGAAAAAAAAAGTAGCCAAGAGTCCATAATAGCCAAGCCAACTTTCCTTCAGTCATCAGCTGAAATTTCTTACGGTTTAAGAATGGGAAGAGATCCTATCAGAATTCAGAAAATAGCTTTATTCCTTAGAGGGTAGATGAGGCATCTGACATTAATATAATTTTAGAAAGAAATATTGGTCTTCCTTGTAAATATTCCTTTCCTGCTTACGACCCTCTTACCTCAAACACTGTAGAATTTTTCATTAGACTACCTCCTATTATTCACCAAATACAGAAGGAATCTTTGATCAAACTAATTAGAAATAGTTACTCTCTACTCTCATAGATACATCAGATTTATTAGCAAAATTATGTGTGTTCACATTGAGCAGACGAATAGGAACATTAAATAGAAAGAAGATGACAGGCCATTTTTTTTAAAGACCGAGGCAGCATTGCAATTAAGCAGGAATTATTGCAAATGAAAAAAAATATATGAATCTGTCTCTCTCTCTCTCTCTCTCTCTCTCTCTCTCTCTCTCTCTCTCTCTCTCTCTCTCTCTCTCTCTCTCTCTCTGTCATGAAACTGGAGAAGGCAAGATCAACAAGAAAGAAAATTAGATATAGTCAGTGGTGGGATTCAGCCAGTTCGCACCAGTTCGGCAGAACCGGTAGCTAATTTTTTGTCGCCCAGGCCCAGAATGGACGTCCGGAAGCAGCATCCACACAGAGAACCGTTTGTTCACCTATTTGAATCCCACCACTGGCCCAGGGGTCATGTGATCTTCTGGCTCAGGAATTCTGGGAGTTGAAGTCCACGAGTCATAAAAGAGCCAAGGTTACCTACCCGTTTTAGACGGAAGCAGTGAAAGCCTGCGGGTGCCAGTGAGTGCCAACCCACAAAGTCCACCTGTAGGTACTTCTGTGATGGGTGCTGTGGGTTGGCAACCACTGCTTAGCCACCTGTCAGACCCACGGAACTAGAACGACAGAGTGAGCTGATCAGAGTTGCTTCTTTATTGCTGCTTGCCTATTTACAGGAATCTCACCAGACTAACTGCATTCTCTTGAGAACAGGCAGATAAAGGCGCTTTTTTGGTGGGGGATGGGTCTGGTCACTCCTACTTCCTCCTGTGGAGGATGAGCCGAGGTGGCGCAGCAGTTAGAGTGCAGTACTGCAGGCCACTTTAGCTGACTGTGTTCAGCAGGTCAGCGGTTCAAATCTCACCGGCTCAAGGTTGACTCAGCCTTCCATCCTTCGGGGTAGGTAAAATGAGGACCCAGATTGTTGGGGGCAATGTAAATATATATATACATTGCTTACTGGTGTACACCGCTTAGAGAGTGCTTGCACTTAAAGTGGTATATAAGTCTCATAAATAAATAAATAAATAAATGTCCAAGCTCACCAGTCTCTTTGCTCTACCCTGCTCCCTACTCTAGCTGGAGATTCCACTACACTACCGCACAGAACCAGGAGGAGCACTGTAGGGCGTTGTTTCTCAACGGGGGAGACGTTAGGAAGTGTGGACTTCAACTCCCAGAATTCTGGGGGGGGGGGCTTGAAATCCACACATCTTAAAGTCACTCAGGTTGAGAAACACTGCTGTAGGGGGTAACGTGACTGTAAATTGGATTGGGAAGATTGGAGTGAATACCCAACACTTTATGATCAGATTTCACCCACCGCCGTGTAATCGTGGAGGGCTGAAAAGTTGAAGAGTTACGGTGAGCTTAGAGAGTGTGTACTTAGACTGAAGTCCAGCATTTCTGTCTCCTAAAATTGAGAACCAGGACAGCACAGTAGTTAAAGTCCTGGCCTGGGATTGAAAAATCTTCAATGACTCAAGTTCC